GAAATTGAAGGAGAAGGACAGCCATGAGCCCATGAATTCATGGGACCAGAGGAAGCTGTTGAATGGTCACAAAAGTAAAGGGATATCTTCACAAGAGAGCTCAGAATCGATGTGCATACCCGGCGATGCATTGTCAGATGTGGGTCTTCCGAGTGCATACCCGGTGATGCACGCGGGCCGCAGTGTGTTAATGGTGGCCACGACGCCTGTCTTTATCCATCTGCGTTCTAGGCCTCGTGAACAACTAAAATGCAGATGGATAAAGAATGAGCGGAAGGCTATCGTGCAAATGCAGCGTACGAAGTGAAGCTTCAAAGTAAAGACTCGCTTCGCGGGTTTCTGGAAGTACTGCTCCGTTTTCTCGAGCGCAAAGACCACAGCAGAGGTCGCAGTGGTCTTATTAGCGTCAGAGGTGATGCGGACACCAGTTTGATCGTGAACGAAATTAGTAGGGAGAAGCGCTTTACAGATTTACCATCAGTCTACCAAGCTTCATTTTTGCCACACCACCAAGTCCGCCTCTTTATTTTCTTTAAGATCAAACTAAGAACCTTACCCCCTCTATGAGCCACTGCGAACTCTGCGGGGTTTCAGCACCAGAGCTACTGACCCCTATGGCTCGTTCAGAGAATTTTTATAGGTATTTTGGCTTTGCTATCCAGATCGATCCGAATCAATTGGACGTGATGCTGGTAAGATCTCTACTCAATCAATCACTTTTCTCAGTTCCTTGCGATCAAACACTAGTCAGACAATCGAGAAACATCCCGAATTCAATATCTGGCTATTTTTTTGCTTTTTCCAGACGCGTGTAATCACCACTATATTTACAACTGAGGACTCAGACGAAAATCTTGCCGATGCAAAAGGCGTTAGTTTCCAGGCACCTCTCCAGGGTCAAAACCCGGACCGACCTACTGGTTATTTTTTCAGAGCCATTTGGGATGATAGAAACATGGGTTTGTGCGTTGGACGGCCTCTGCAATCCGTAGACCAGGTCGTATTCAAGTGGCCCTTTTCAATTCAAGGCCCTGCGTGAAGTAAAGTGCCTGGCGTAGCAAATAAAGGATTGATGAATCCTGAATGTTTTATCCTTTGTGCCTGATCATCGAAAGAATGCTCAAAATCCTGTTACTGTGAAGGAGCTAACGTTACCCGTACTTCCGCTAGAGTTATCAGCCGTGTCGGAACCCTTTTTTGGGTAAACATACATCGAAGTGAAGTGCATAACACTCGAACGTGTATGTATGTTGTACGTGTCGAAAGCAGTGCGATTTTACGGCGGCGAACCGGCGGGTCGGTGGGTGTTTTACGCTGAGTCCCGCCGTCCGTCTGTGGACCCTTGCGCTTTTACCACAGCACGCTGATTCTCTCTCTGTGCGAATGACGCGGTTTACTGCAATCATATAGAGATCTGCAGATGCCGTTGGGCCATATGGTGTAAATCGCCAGTTTCGCAAGTTGAATGGCAGGCTTATAAGCGGTGTTGCGAAGCTCAGATAGGACATGCTAAGTAATTGTCACTTCTTGACGCCCCGCACAATCGTGGGTAAGGAACCTATGTGGCGGTGATACCTATTGGCTTTCCCCGCCACTTGTTTTCCTAGCTCGGCTCTTATTTCTGGCACAACTCTCGACGCTCTCAGTAGGGTCCGGGTTAGTTTCATAAGCCTTCTGGATAGCTTATAAGGGAACGATATACCGCCAGTCCAAACAATCTCGCTGACGGAAGAAGTCGTGAGCGCTACTCGCGTGTATGGGCATTGTGGTGCAAAGCAATTAAAACTGCATGGTAAGCACGTCTTGCTTTTTGTTAGGATTGCATTTCAGATCGTCTAACAGGGGAGGGGTCGCTCCGGGAGGTGGCAGAGGTAAGGTTAACCTCTTGCGGCTGTCTTTCATTACAAATTTCGCTTTCAAAACATCACTTGCGTTAGCAAATACTTCCCTAGATCCAACTCTTTGCATGAATCACATAAATAACTGGATGGCGCCACCTCCCCGTTGCTGCTGACACTCGCAGCACAAGAGTGTAGGTTTGACAGCAAGGTCCCGTCGAGGGACTTAATTTTTATCTTTCAGGCGATCTAGTGTAGGAGATAACCGCATAGGAAGCGTTATTCTTGCAGCCCAGCCATTCATCACACAAAACAAATGTGTGCAATTTAAAGGGTGCATTTTACTTTGTCCACATTTATTACGTATGGACGACTTTTCTTTCTCCTTCACACTCTGCCCAAGGTTTAAAGCATGATGACAACATATCCCATGTGACGGGCGTAAAAACTTGGTGCTCAGCAACCGGCGTTGCAGACTATTCTAACAATCTGCAATCCATATTACCACCGCATTTACCTACTTGAAAAGTTATGACAAAAAATCAAAAACCTTTCTCTTATGGTGAGTTAAATGTTTACCTAACGACAGACCTAAATTTCAGCATCCACGGCTGTTTTCAAAGCATTTGCTTGCTTGGCAATATTCACACCTTCCAGCTATATTTTATATAAGCAACCACTATCCCGTCAAAGACACAGCTGTACATACATACATATATGCATAGAAACAAGCATGGCGAAACAGTTCAGGGCGCACTTAAAAAAGTCAGCCTAGAAAAATATTTCGAAAGTCAAAAATTACTAAATAATGAAGCAAACCTCTAGGCTATCAGATCACATTGAATAAATATCGCAAACTACACAAAATGCAAGAAGAAGATGGCTACAATCACGATTATAATTCAGCAAGACGTGCCGCCAAAAAGCGATCGAGCAATCGTGTTTGTATCAGTAGACCCACCAGAACCTGCACCGCTATACCTTGCAGAACTGGAATAAGGGAGAGTAGTTGGTCGTTCCACGACCTCTTCTCGATCCGTGACCAGCTGCTTCTGAGCCCACACGATCATGCGCAATAATGCTTCCAGACGGGGCGCAGCAGGTCGATTGAGTGCTCGAAGTACAGCTCCGTTCACTTCAGTAGAGACCTCAAATCAAAGGATTACTTTCTGAAGCAAAAAGAGAATTACTCAAGTAAAAACTATGACATGTAGGAGTAACATTCAAACAGCCGGCTGCACAAGTGTACTATAAATAGCGGATAGGAACAAACGCTAAATACAATTTTTAACCAACAGTCATGACAGCTTGACTCTTTCAACATGTTGACGGCAAAGCGCGTTCGGGCTTTTTTGGCCATGTGGGACGGGCGCGATTTTTCAAGCGCGGCCGCCTCAGTCACTCAATAGATTCGATGTGGTGAATACACAAAAAATTGCGATGCAAGATCAGATCAAGTGAGTAGAAGCTACCACGCAGTGTACTAGTGGAATTTCGATCGGAGGACGTGAAATAACGGTGAAGAAAGCGAAATTTGTCAGACTTAGCTGCAACGGTTCTCTGGAGCACTTTTACCTTGATTGTTTCAATCAAGACAAGTATAATGTCATCCCTTAAAGGAATCTTCCACGGACCATGGACCAGTGGGCGGGACCGGAAGTGGTTTTGCGACGAAATGCATGGTAGGTACGGATCCACGTTCATGGGAAGGTTTGAAGTGAATCCTGTTCACGTTCGTGCGTTCGACACGTGGATCCGTACCTACCATGCATTTCGTCACAAAAACTTCCGGTCCCGCCCACTGGTCCATGGTCCGTGGAAGATTCCTTTAAGTCACTTGTGTATCCCTCTACTACTCTTTTGATCTTCACATTCATGAAGAGGAAATAGGAACGAAACTGGATATTTTCGTGAGATTCAGAAAACTCCTCTCAGCTAAAGCATACGTGACCATTTTATGGGTCACTAATTTTGTAACCATGCTAGGGTTTATTCCATAGAATGAAACAGTGAACCTTAATGTGAATTGTGCGTACACGGAAGAAATGAATGTGAAGGGTGCAGGACACATACGTCCCGCGCTCTCTGTCATGGCCTGCGAACTGCGACACGTATGTTTCCTATGAAGTCATCAAACAGTCGAACAAAGGTCAACCCAACCCTTAACTATCAGAACTGGGCCTGCACATTTTTTGATCAAAAAATTCTAATATCGATGACTGCAATCCACCACGAATGAAGCCGTTGTTATGCATAACAACGATTACAATCTAGAGGAGGCGTTTGTTTGAAATTTATTCGGTTTCACAAGCACAATGCTGTAAGGCAATGCTCTTTATAGTGGGTCATTCAATAATAACACTTCGCACCATCTGGCGTTGAGACTGATCCAACAGCTTCCCGAAGGGGCTCTCGCGCAGGCTTCTCAAAAGCCAACAAAGCGAAGGTCTTCTCCAGTCTTTCCAGTTGAGAATCCGTTAAAGTATTATCATTTGAGAGGTTTTCTTGAGCATATTCCAACGACTTTTCCATTTCCCTGAAAACAGATGTTACAAAAATGGCGCTATCGCAAAACGCATCGGGACGACATTGCATTTGGAACGGCGAAGAACTTGTTCATGTGATAAATACCCGGTTTTAAAATTGAGACTTAGGAGGAGGAGGAACTCCGGGGTGCGGGAGCAATCTCAGTTTTCCCCAGAATTCCTCCCTCCAAGCATCATTCTGAGAGATGGCCTCCATACGCACGGTAATAGCGTCATTCCGACTGATTCTACCACTACATGAAGCCAGAGAAGCCATCAGTATAGCATTTTTTCTTTATCGCGCGCACCTGGTTGTTGTCAACACCGAGATGGCGGCTTCACTTGTATAACACGCACAGCTGGTGAATGTTAGCTGTACACAGGTCAAAGGAAGTGCAAACAGCGGAAGATGAAGAAGAAACGAATGCATAATCAATATCCAAAAAACCAACCCTCTTCTGATCATCTCAATCAAGTTCTGTTGCATGAGATGGAATCGCACTTCACGATTTTCGTCCAGAAGTGTTGGACACAACTCCTTTACCTGAACAACACCACATGAATACACGTTGACAACGCAGAGTTGCTACATGATAGTACTGCCCTGTACGATCTACACGGATGATATAGGAATAACGAGCAAAGAACCATGCAGCTCCTCCAATACATCAATTTCCGAAAAGGCCGAAATATACAACAAATAGCTTTCTTAGAATTAGTTTTCAGAACTGCAATTCGGGGAAGGACGTTAAAGATGATGATGAGGTTTGACAAAAAAAATCCAGAAACAGTTCCAACGATTGACAAGAATTTACGGCGCTCATCCAGTAAGGGGGGCATCAAGTGGCTGCCCTCACCCCCACCCCCTAGACTGCCTACACTCCCCCTGGCGCACAGGTTTCTCGAAGTACGGGACCCCGTGAGCCAGGGGGAGTGAAGGCAGTCTAGGGGGGGGGGGTGAGGGCAGCCACTTGACGTTGCATCACAATGCCCCCCCCCCCCCTTACCGGATGAGCGCCGAATTTACTAATACCACTCACTGAAGAAATAGAAACGCGGAGCTGACCCACTGGATGTTCCATAAGTAAGGCACTCATTACTCACTCATTCATTCACTGTTCTCGTTCACTCACTCTTTAAGTACTTCTCAGTTACAGGAGTTATTACGCTTATTTTGCCTTATTCTGTGTGTTCTTTGTAGAATGCTCATGTTGGGCATAAAAGGAAGAGAAGACTCACTATGGCAAATATTAATCAAACGGCTCTGAAAAGCTATAACTGGAATTCAAAAAGACAGGTAGCCTCACCAGTTGTAATGCGTCATCCAGCCGTCCTTCTATTATAGCACATCTGATATTCATACGCGCGTCAAGATTTTTGATGTCGTCTTTCGGCAGTTCCAGTCCAGATTCTTGGCATAATAGTTCTGCTGCCTGCAAATTTTCCAATGTTGTTTCATTTCGAGACGCTGAACTCGGAATAGAAGAGAAATAGAAAAGTACTTGCACACCTCTCTATATCCTTCTGATATTAGATAATCTACAATAAGTTTCCCCATTTCCTGCGATGATGGAACAACATCGAAATGAGCTGAAGCAAGAGAATTAATTCCTTTACTTCCGAAATGTATCAGAAATCTGACCATTGACGATCCGACCTGACACTCTGTCTGGCACATAAATAGTTCTCCTGATAAGGATTTTGCTAGAGGACTTCGTTTGTTTTGAGGCAATAAAATCTCATCGATCATTACTCTATGCTACCAATTCAAATGGAAGATATCACTAAGGAGGATTTATTTAGAATAGAACTCCCCACAAAAATGATTGATGTGTGCACTCTCCCTTGCACTTTCTGTGCTCATATTGTCCATTTGTACAACGCACTGAGAATCTGAGCTGCTATTATTTGAATCGTCGATTTTCGAAGTTCCAGAATCTGATTATGTGATAATCGATCAATGTAATACGAAATTTGAAATGAACAATTCATCGCAGCCCATCCAGTTTAATGATTACAATCATTTACTCCAACTCTACCTAGCAAGTATCGCAGTTTTGAGCGAGGCAAATTTCGATACCAGATAGCTACGATAAGATGATCTATTGACCGACTAGCTCAGAGCTTCCTTATAAGTTTTCAGCCCAATGCCAGAATTCGCAACTGGTTGGGCCCTACGTTAAATTGATATGTATACGAATCAGGTAAAAAAGTAGCAATGCACTCTATTTTGTAGATCATCATGGAAAAATATATGACCCCCCACGTAAATGTGCACGAGTGCATCGGAATCCATTTGGAGTCTTCCGATATGCATAAATAATGAAGCGAAAAATGCAGTGTGTCTCGAACAAAAACACCAAACGATCGCCGGGCAGCGCCCAATCCCAAAAAGT